TCATCGAAAGTAGGGAAAATGACCTCTTTAATATATTTGGAACCGACAATGAACGCCAGAAGATTTCTTCTGGGATGGTTTCAGGATGCAAAGGTTGATGTGTGTGTGGATCTATTTATATGCTAAACCTTTCCTTGAATCGTCTGTGGGAGCCCCTGACTAATCCTTTTGGGTTTCGTAAAATGTAGGATGCTCTGCGACATGTTTTTGCCAGTAGAATTGCCGAGATTAAGGATTCGGCTCAGTGGAATAAGCTGGCATTTGTTTCATGTGCTTGTAATCGTCTGCTGCTTATGGACGAATCCTTGCAGCTTCTCCCGGTTGTTGAGTCGCTTGATCTGAGTAGAAACAAGTTTACAAAGGTGGATAGCCTTCGGAGGTGTACCAAATTGAAGCACCTTGATCTGGGTTTCAATAATCTGAGAACTATTTCTCATTTGAGTGAGGTATGAACTCCATGGGATAGAGTAGCGCCTGCTAGATTTTGTTCTTGAAGTAATTATAATTTATATCTTCATACTGAACTAGTCTTAATTGTTTGAGAGATTCCAGTGTGTAGTTTGTAAGTCAAACTGTTTACGGCGATATGATAGTTATTATTGGTTTAAATCTATTTGCTGATGATTTTATGTGGACTTCACCTTGGGACCCATGCACCAATGTTTTTCAACCATGCAGGTATCCTGTCGAATAGTTAAACTTGTTTTGAGGAACAACGGTCTAACCACCTTACGTGGGATTGAGAATTTGAAGTCACTTGAAGGCCTTGATGTTTCCTGCAATATTATTTCCAACTTTTCAGAATTGGAGTTTCTTGGCAGCCTTTCAGTGCTGAAAGATCTGTGGTTGGAAGGGAATCCATTATGTTGCTCACGATGGTACAGGGCACATGTCTTCAGCTACTTTGCTTCTCCAAATGATGTAAGTTTTGATTCTCTCTTTCCTTCTTTGGAGGCTGTAGAATCTTTTTGAAGAGACATAATTAGGTTCTACCATTTTAATTTCTGTTATTATGCAAGTCTTCTCTTATCTTGTATGACTTGTCAGCTGAAGCTAGATGGCAAACTTATTGGCACCAGAGAATTTTGGAAGAGGCAAATAATAGTTGCCCGTAAACATAGACAGCCTGCCAGCTATGGGTTCTACTCTCCTGCTAGAGATGATGCTGAAGATGAGGGAAGTGGTAATAGAAAGAAGGTAAGCAGCCTTTGTCTTTAACACCTTCTCTTGTGTGTTGAGGTCCTCTGTTCTATGTGATAATAGAAACATTCTAGTTCTCTCTTTCATTTTTTTTCGTTGATATTGGTATCACTTTGTGCTTTTGTCAAGTTTTGAGCGACGTGATTGCAATGTGATGACCTGTTGGAAAGCTTTGTCGCTCATGCATAGCAATGTCACCAGCATGTCATTCCTTATTCAATTCCTCTTCTTGTCTTGTTTTAGTATCTTGGTCCCATATTTTTTTGCTGGATAAACTATATTGTTGGAAGTTTATTCTGTATCTGTGTCACTCTTTTACAGAAAAAGGTTTGTCGACTCGCTTCTATTGACAGTGAGGAAGAGAGCACCTACATCAGTTCTGACCAAGAGTCGTTGTCAGGTGATCTTGAGACTCAAAGCAAAGAGGAGAACGCCAAATCTGACAATGAATCTGATATTTTTGATCTAATAAAAAAAGTGGAACATCTGAAGAAAGAACGTTCTGTTCTCTGGTTGAGAGAGTTTAAGGAGTGGATGGATCATTCATCGGAGGGTTTCTCTGATGTCAGCAATGATAACTGGGGTATTGATTGGGAGAAAAGACATTATTCAAAGATTCGAAAAAGCCTTGGACATCATGGTGAAACATCGAGATATGCATTTGGGTCTGTACGAGATTCAAGAGATAAGATCAAGACAGAAAGTTTGGAGGAAAATTGTTCATGTGTGGATCAGCCAATCGGTATACACGATGTTAAATGTGTTAATGGTACGGAAATACGGAAGACAGTTGGTGATGTCTCTTCATTAGGCACATTGAACACATACTTAAATCGGAAGCATCAGAAATTTTTACATGAGGAGATGGGCACTGTGTCAGTTGAACCAAACGAGCTGCATCCTGAAACGTCTGCAACTCAGAAGCCAACTGGAAATGGGAACATGTCAACATTGGAATCAATCCAGGATATGGCAGGATCACTTTTATCCTCTACCTTCCTTGGTTCACCCCCTCATTATCGGAAGGATGTATTACATCGACGTCACAACCTAGTGGAAGAAATTTTGCAGCTGTCAGCAGATTCTTATTCAGTGGCATCATCTGATAGTACAAGCAGCTGCAGTGAAGACGAGTTCTATGATTCTGAGCAGTCAAATCCTGAAGAGGGTCAGTTAGCAAACCAGGAATTTCTAAATAGCACAGGAGAACAGCCTCTGTCAGGAGTCTCTAAGGACTATGTGAATCGACTAGGAGAGGAGGATGCAGGATCTGCCCAAAAAGGGACATTTTCATCTTATTCTCAAGCAGAGGATAATATTAGCATCGTAAAGACTTGGAGGACAGATGAATCATCGAAAGCAGAGGCCACTAATTTTCATTCTGGATTCCATAATGTTGATCTTGCTTCTTGCATTAACCAGATTGACAGTTGGTTTGAGAAAAGGAAAAGCAGAAGGAAACTTAGAAAGAGAGTTGTTTCTTTACTGGAGGAGGATAGTGTAGTTACTAATGGAGAAACATCTAAAAAAAGTGAAGTAAATATCAGTGGCTCTGACAAAGATGAGAGTATTTCTGATCATTTACAAGAAAGTTCCCTGGCTACCGCTTTAAATTGTAGTAATAGCGATAAGAGATTTTTGGGGGCTGAACAATCACTTGAAGAAAAAGATGATCTAGTCGATGACTATTTTAAAATGAAGCTGTCAGACTCCAGCATTCAGGAGACTTGTCAGCTTTACTTGCATTGTGATTGTATACTAGAGCGAGATTCCACTTACGAGCTGAGGTAAACCTTGTTCCACTTGCTTGGCTGTAGTTATAGGTGAAAGAAATTAATGTTAATCCCTTTTAATAGTTTTATATATTAGTATCTTGAGGCTTGCTTAATATAATATCCTTCGCTGAAGCCTGAAATGCAGTAACGTGGTATGGAATTAAGTTAAGATGTTTGGATTCGCTTGATGTTTAGTAGCTTTGAAATTTGGTTATTCCTTGTAGATGTTCAATAGTTTTGAGAAACCATTCCATACCATTCTGTTTTCTCTTGTTTTCTCATAGCAACATCTGAAATGCAGGGAGGTTATGTTGTTGTGGAGTGGTCCAGACAAGTTGTATGTGCTGCTTGTGGATATCTCTATTGACTCGCCAGGTTGGATTGGTTGGCTATCTTGTCTCCTCTCTTTTCAGATTTTTTTTATGACCTTGAGTTACTTATTATTAACTTCGTTTGGTGGGAGTCCACAGAAAGCAGCTTACGTTTATTGTCTTCGCTTAAAATCGAGGATATACAGAACGTTTCAGTTGGTCTAGGACTTCAAGTTGTGAGGTCAGTCTATTCCGCTTCTGCTTGGTAAATTTTTGCATGTTCTCATGTCCCTGAATCGTTTTTCTTTACATTTGGTTTAGGCTACATTTTAGGGAGGATACCAAGTATATCTTCATAACTAAAAGCATCGAGAAGACAACAACATTACTCACTATCGTACAAGTTTTTGATTCTCAAGGGGTTGATATCTCTATTGGAAGGTGAGCTATTGCTTTCAACCTGCAGTCTTATCTGTCTTTTCTCGTTCTGTGTTTTATTTACAATTTTCTCTTCCATATTCTTATGATACTTGTTTGGAAACTTAAATGGCAGTTTGGAGCATGTTCAGGTGGAATTGTTTGAGAAAGAAATATGTGGGGGTTTGAATCTGAACATATTTCAATACAATGTTCTCCATTTTCAGAGCAGCACTCTTGGAGGTACATTCTTGCTCACTTAACTGTGATACACTGGAGAGGGAAATTGTTTGCTTGTAAAGTTTAATTTTATATGCCAGCTTTTCCCCGTAGCCCACATGAAGTAGACCCGAAGTGTCTTCTACCAATGGTTTTGTCGATAGTTGTTAGGGCTTACTGATAGTTCATGTTTTGATAGGTGATGTGCGTAGCTCACAATCAGGCAATTCCTCCTTGTGTCTCTATTCCATTCCTCTTCTTCATTACCATGAAATCTAAATTCTTTTATCTGGCCAATCTATGACGTTTCTTTGATGTGGCTCTTCCGCATGGATGACATGGCATCAGGTTTTCCTCTTGTAGCTGTTAATGAAAGAAAACGCATGCATTAGATGTGGGTTGGTCCTAGATCTAATGTGTGTTTGTTACTAAGCCAATTGGGTTTTGAAACCATGATCTCCTTATTTCACGTAAATGTCCTGTGTTAAATGTACTTTGCACCATGTCATGATTCATGAAGTTGTCTGGTTCATTACCTAAGAGCATTGTGATTGTCTCATTTACCTACTGCTTCCATATTGGACAAAAAGCAAACTTTGTCTTCTCTGATCATCTAAGGAGGTAGCGCTAAAAGCGTGTTTGTTTTACTGAACAGAAGGCGTGTGGCTGCTGCGGTCAATTTTTGTGGCCGGTAGACATCTTTTCATATGCATTGAAGACTTCACGCAACTGAGCTCTCTGTCAGTAAATGCTGCTTCTGCTCCATATTTCTCACTCGACTCTTGCTGCTCCATTTCTGATGTATCTGAGATGGTAATAAGCTTCTGCAATCTTTCTTTCTGCTCTCACTTTTCAAAACTTAAGTTGTGTTGTGTTGTTGAATGTTGAGAAGACAACTTTCGTCTGATCAAGTTTGAGGGCTTGACTAGAGTAGAGGTGTGTGCGAAAACCAAATACTTTAAGAATTGGTGCTTGGACAGAAATCCCAAGTTCACCCTTGGGAGTTCCATTTTCTTCCCATAAACATTGGGATATAGCAGGATTCAGGTGTTACGGGAAGAGGAACCTAGTTGGACTGTGCCTTAGTATATTTGATGGCTCCTCACTTTGATATATGAACAAACTTGGATGATTTTGCAGGTGGTGATGGAATCTAAAAGAAGAAGTTCATGCTTAGAATTGAAGATCAAGCAGAGGCACACCAGACAAAAGAGTGAAGCTGATTCAGTGATATGGAAGCTCAAGTGGTTCAACGCTGAGGATGCACTCAAGTTTGTGGCTCTACTCAAAGCCCTTCACCAAGATTTGACGGAAGAACCTTTGCTCATTAGGCAACTCGGGTAGAAGATAAGGTGTGTTCATCCTCTTTAGCCCCCCTCATTCTATGTGCAAATGTATATTCTCTACATCCATATATATATATATATACATATAGTTCGTATTCCATTAATTTGATTCTTTTTTATCCCCTTGGTTTTGATCATCTTGCTAAAGTGGTTGTTGGTCTGTTTTGGGTTTGGGATATTCTTTGATTTGGGTGCATTGTTGGTAGAAACATGAGATTTGAAATGTACATAGGATGTAACATATATGTATGAGAAGCAGTTGGAATGGAAATAACCCCCCCGCTTTCTGCGTTTATTTGGGTGTCCTAACAATCGCAACTCAGAATGGCTGATGATATATATATATATATGTCATTTAGGATTTTTCCTGTAAACATACTCTTCAACCCAACTTTTAGTGTTTGAAGGATTCGAAGCTTTGTATCAATGGAGATAACAAAACAGAGAGAGACAGAATTGGGAAAATATTCGTATATTCCTTCGTTCCTCTCCAGACAGAAACAGAAAAACGACAGAATGAGTGGTGTACTTTCTATTTGAGAAGATGTTCAAAGGCGGCGGAGAAGAGAGATGGCCAAGGGATGAGAGGCATTGGCTAAACCTTCTGCTTTGTATGACTACTAGTGCAATTTTATTAGTATGGGGGTTTTATGGAAAATTTTTAACCCTAGAACACGAACATGCATGCTATATATCTCAAGAAACGATATTATAAAGTTCGTTAACCACGCAAATCTCAAACTTATACACATAGATTTACAAACACCACGAGAGGTTGAAAAGTGTCTAACACTTTCTACATGAAATCCAACACCTTGGATCGTGTCTAATAGAACTGGTAACTCTTTCTCCGGCTCATAGGAGGGTAGAGTTTGTTCTTGGACCTTAGAACTATTCTACAATCGTTAGTTGACGCTCCCTAAATGTTGGAGACAAACCCCTTTTATAAACACTCCCTAAAATCTAAATTTCTACAAAAACTTGCAATTTTTTGTAAATCTAATTCGAACCGATTTGAAGTAAATCGGTCCAATTTAAGTTTCATATTAAAGTTCTATCTTTTGATTAAATCAATATGAGTTCAAACTAACACGGGCCGATTCAAAACTCAGACAGTTCAAGTTCAAGTTTTTGAACAAAAGTCCAACTTTTCTCATCAGAACACCAACACGATCATGTAACCTCTACTCGATTGTGTTGAACTCCGAAACTTAAACTTTCGCATTCATCCCTCCTGCGTATGATCTTATAGCCTCATTTCCCACGAGAGTTGCCGCGAAGGAATAAAATTAGATGTGATGTAACCAAAAGTCGATAATAATTCAAATGATAATCCTTTTTGTCACGCGATATAGAGCCAACCACGATGCGATGGAATGGGTGAAGAGTTCATTTTTAAAGTCTTTCTTCTTCTTATTTTAAAACAAATGATACTTAGTCGAGGGCCTCGAGGCCTTTTGTTTCCTTCCCGAATGTAATAGTGCGTTGATCGATTTTTCAATGCTAAGTGTTTTGGGTTTTCACACCCATTTCTCCAGACAGCAGAAACTCGGTTTTAGGAACGAGCTTCTTCATATCATGTGTATGATAGATAAAGTAAAAATATTAATGTTTTTATTTAATATCCGACCAGATCTAAAACTCAAAGAAAACAGACCTTTATTACCACGGGGGGTTGGTTCACTCGGTGGAGAAGTCGAAGAGCATAGAGTGGACGTGCTTGTGACCTGGCTGGACCACGATGGAGGGGAAGTTCCTCTGGTTGATGGCGTTGGGGAACCCCTGCGTCTCCATGCACACCCCCGCGTGCTTCCCGTAGACTGCTCCTCCTTTCCCGTTAACCCCATCCACGTAGTTACCCGTGTAGAACTGCATCCCTGGAGCATTCGTCCAAAGGTTCAGAGTCCGTGAGCTCGTGGGGTCCTTGAGCATGGCGGCGTGTTTTAGCCCATCCTTCTCCTTATCAGAACAGTCCAACACGTAGTTGTGGTCATACCCTATGCCTACCTCTCCTATCGACTCTCCTATACGTTTTTCCTGTGTGAAGTCGAAGGGAGTGCCCTTCACTGGCATGATCTCCCCCGTCGGGACAGTGTTGTCATCGACGGGAGTGATGTGGGAGGCCCATATCTGGATCCGATGGTTGAGAATGTCGCCAGAGTCGTGGCCTGCCAAGTTCCAGTAGGTGTGTTGGGCTAAGCTGATGGGAGTGGCTTTGTTCTCTGGAACTGCCTCCATGTCCAGTCTTACTGTTGTGGCTGATGTCAGTGTGTATGTGGCCGTCACAGTCACTGCTCCCGGGTACCCTGCTCGATACCAAACTCCTTTGTTATGCCAGCCCATTCAAGTCATACAGAGAGAGAGAGAGAGATTCAAAACCTTCTTCGCCGTCAGCGCTGAAGTACTTGAAAGTTATGGAAGGCTTTTCACCGTCTTTCTTGTGCTCCACAACATCCCATACCTTCTTATCGAAACCCTTGTTACCGCCTGTTAAAGAGAAGCATACACATATTCATTTGAAATATCCATCGATTCAGGAAAAAGAATCTGTCTTGATGCCTATTTTGTTGTCCCCTCATCAAGAAACCTGATTATTTTGCCAAAACCCCCGATATGTGACGTAAACCAAGTCTCTAAGATATCACACACTACCAACAGACCATTTTGGAGCCAAAGGCAAACCACAAAAAAACTCCAAAAACCAGAAACTGGTTCCAAACAGAACTACCGACCAAGTAACAGTAAGGTCCATAATACCGCCTTCTTACGAAGGTACCTTACTACAATACATTTCTAACGTTACATAGGTTATCTTAGGGGAAAAAACAACAAAGGAGTGGCTCCACGAAGATACATTACAGCCGAAATCTCATCAACGATTGAAAAGAGAAGAGATACCGTGGAGGCTGTTGGGGGGTTTGTTGATAGGCAAAGTGTATAGGACTCCGTTCAGAACAAACTTTCCTTCCTTTATCCGATTTGCAACCCTACCGACGATGCACCCAAAGTACGGTGCAAGCCCTTTCTGACAACAACAACATCCCAAATTCAAACATGAATATTCTGCTTAAGATTCAGACATATCATTTTAAAGGTCTCTTTATGTTTTGTTTAGGCAAAATATACAGAACAGAAGAAACAGAATGCGCTTTATTACAGTTTATGTTTCTCTGAGAGACAAAAGAGAGAAATTGCAGACAGAGATCACATGTTCCCTGATCAACATTTTACAGAACCCATAAACCGAGAGAATTTTTGTCGGATCGAATGATCCCTTGCCGAGATCAGACCATAAGAAAGAGATTTCTAGAGAAATTACCACGTATGGATCGACGGAATCAAATCCGAGAACAACGTCGGCCAATTTCCCTTCAAGAACAAAAAAAAAACGACAATCAGAAAAACACAAAAAACAAAAACCCTAGAGATTAAGAAGGAGATGAGAACCGTTCTTGTCGGGGACAGAGAGGGAGGTGATGGTGGCGCCGTAGTTGGAGATCATGACCTGCATGGAGCCATTGCTGAGCTCGAAGATCTCTGGCTTCTGATCCGCCATAGCTATGCCGAAACTGGGAGTGGGAATGCGAGGTGGGAGATCCAAAGACGAGAGAAGTGATCAGTTGTTGCAGTCGAAACTCTTCTTGTCTTGTCTTGTTATATAAAGATATAAGCGTAATCTTGCAACGGATCAAGCCGATGACGTCATCCTCCTTTTTCTTCGGCGGTTTCGTTTCTTCGTACTTATCAATCATGTAACTCCCAAACTGTAAGAAATTCTAATGCTTAAAAAGGAGGAAGTTTTTTTTTTCTATAATAGGTCAAATAACTTTTTGGTTAAACAAGAGTGTGATATATATATATATATATATATATATATGCAAGAATTATCGGTGGCTGAATATATCTGGCATGCGGTCCATATTTACAAGGGAAGGGAATCACAATCGCAAACGCATTATAAGGACATAACTGCTCAAGTTCCCATGATAGTTTAAAACGCAAAGCGCAAAAACAAACACAAACACAAACGCGTGAATACACATGGTTGTGTACTGTATTATATGAATCTTTTTAACGCCAAAGGCCGTCTCCCTTTGTCCTAACGAGTTCCAGAGGCAGTTTCTCCATTGCCATCTGAAACATATATACAGCTAGTTAGTTCATCGCTGTAATATCCCAATCATATTCCAAAGTCTAGAGAGAGAGAGAGAGAGAGAGAGAGAGAGAGAGAGATTCTCACCCATAATCTGGGAGCTGTCGGATCAGATTTGGGCTGATGTGCTTTAGCGACTTTCGACTCGAAACTGATGGCTATGCATACCTTGAACTCCACAGAAAAGGGCCTGTTTTTGCATATAATCTCACGATTCACTATCACTGATTTACTTAGCTTCTTCCTTTTTTTTTTTGTTTTGTTTTGGTGCCGAAACATCAACTCCCATACTCATCAGCACGCTTACAACACTTTCTTCGGTGTCCAAGTAGTTAGTTGTATGCATTGATTTCCCGTTCACAGGCAAATGCCAATATCTATCCACTTTGTCCATTTGTTGGCGACCCTAATATTGAGAATTAGAAGAAAAAGCAAAGTGACTTACCCTGCAAAGGTGGTCGGACATGTCAAAAGCCGTGGAAGTATAACATAGATTGGGATAGCCAAGTTGCGACACACATCCCCATCTGCAATCTGAAAACCAAACAAAAAAAAACAAAAAAAGAAGAAGATGAAGGCTTTCGAAATTGTTTCAAAGTTAGAATTGTTTGGTATGCAGAAGGATTTGTCCCCCCCACAAAAAAAAGGACACTGGACCTCTGTAGATTGAATCAAAGAAGTCTCCGTAACAATTCTCTCTCCCACAAGAATTGACTCGACTCGGAGGAGGTGAATATCTATTGAAGTGATGGGAATGGAAGACGCTTCCACTGTTAACTCGCCGCTGAGTGGATCCTGTAAAGAACGTTGGGTGGACATTTTTCCGGTTACTCGGAATCCACCTTTTGGAAACCAAAGGTTTTGTGTTAGCTCCAACTTGTTTTTAGATAAAAGAGAAGATTGGTTTCACTCGAATGGAAGCCAAACCTGTTTTAAGTTCAGTGAGCAAAGGATGTCTCTGAGTGTCTTGGGTGATGTAGAAGATGACCATCTCTGGAGAAAGCAGTGGCTCGGGAAGATTGACTAAATAAACACAAAAATAAATGGTAAGAAATACCAACAAAAAATTAGAACCTTTTATACGAAAAAAAACATTCAATGATATGGACAAAGCACCTTTATCGCTCTCGATTATGAACTCCATTGTTGCAGATAATGGTTTATGCAAGTACCCTCTTGCTATATCTACAGTTAACAGATACTGCCACAGATTTCACGTCACTATTGAAAATGGTCAGACACAGCGTGAAACCTGACCATGAGGGGTCAAAAGCAAAATACTAACTTGAATGTTGATATCGGATCCATGGAAAGTCTCATAGAACTTTTCTGAAGCATTTTCACCAGGATCTCTCAGGGTTATGGAGAATGGAATCTGCAGCAACAGATGAACCATACATGAACTCCCTTCACGTTTCACACAGCAAAGCCTTCAGAAAGAACACCAAACAACCACTCAAAAATATGAAGCACCATTCTGCAAATGCAGGTGTCTTCCACAACGATCTCGCTTTTGCATTCGCATCAGGGATATCGGCTAATCAATGATAACTTGGAAAAGACTGAACCGAACATCATCAGGAGCAGGAAATAGACGTCAATCCGAATTCCATATCTTATCTAAGTGCTGCATGTTTGTGTTCTTAGAATCCTTATGTTTGGGGTGTGAAATATTTCACCGAAAGTGCCAATATTACTCCTAGAAAGCAAGACAATGTCTTACCTCTGTCGTTCCGGAACCGAATTTCCCAGAAGATCTTACTTCGACGGTCTTTTTCCTGTGATTAGATCCGACAAAATGACGCAGAAAAAAGGGTCAGATTTTGATCAAACTAAGCAAAAGGAAAGGAAGTTGTTCACAAGCCAAACAATGCTTACACGATAGGAATAGGCTTGAGTACGCCATAGAAGGACTCTATAACTCCAGCTGATCCTCCGCGAACCTTAATTTCACACAAAACACGCGAGGAAGAGATTCAAATCGACGTAATTTCCCCAGGAACCCAAACAAGGCTCGATCAACGATTCGAAACCTGTAAGTTGACTGATCCATTGACGGATAGACGAACGGCTTGGTGGGAAATGGAAGAAGGAGACTTTATCACGATTTTTCCTTCCACAGGTTCCTGAAAAAGAGAAAACCCGACATTCAAAATCTCCAACAAATGCATCAGCGTCTTCAGACGAATAAGCGAGCGATTCAGTACGTACAGAAGGGCGATAGATACGGTTTGATCGAGAAAGCTTGATATTAACCGATGCAGCCATTGAAGCACCAGATGAGAGCTGCAGCAGCGGCGGGGGCTTGCCGGTTATCGACGACGACGGAATGGTTGACACGGCAAGCACTTGTCTGTGCGAAAACCGAAACAGCACGGTCTCCTTATTAATTGAATCCTGCCGGAACCTGCTCTGTGAACAAAACGACACGATGTTTTGCATACCAAGACAAAAACAGGATGACGTCTCCATGAGATGAGAATTGCAAACACCACATGCAGTTCAACTTCATCCGCGTTGTAAACAACACCTATGTCCTTTGAGCACTGTCCAAATTGCCCATCGGTTCCATTGGAAACAGTGGTGGACCTTTCGATCCGTACAGTTTTAAATTCTCGAAAAATATTATTTTTAAAAAATCAGATTTTTCAAAACCGAACCGAATTTTAAAAATCCCGAAAAATCGAAAATTTTTAAAGTAAATTCATCTTTTTTTTTTAATAAAAAACGAAACCGAACCGGAACCGAAACCGAACCAAACATAATATAAAAATCGATTGGTACCTATTTTTGTAAAACCGAAAAAACCGAACCAATGCATTCCCGTCCCGAACTGTCTCCCGAAACGCCCACCCCTAATCGAAAGTAATAATACAGAATGATGTTTCCAAATAGAATTTGTTTGATATAAAAACTGATGTAGAGTGCAAGTGAATTGAATACACACGTGTGCAGGTGAGGAAGGTTAATGGGATGAACTCTTGTGATAGGTTACCCTATACAGAAACCTCCTCATGCATCTGCAAAATTATTTGTCCGTAGTCTTAAGACGGACCTATTGTCTTCTTCCCCCAACAGCTCACTCACCAGCTTTTGAACCTGCACTGTCAGCCATGGCTTTTTAACTCACATACACTTGAGGTATTTTACTACCAAAAAAAAAAGAGACCCATATTTCTCAAGAACATAGAAACAACCAAACTTTTTAAGAGACCAAGCATCAATAAATTTCAGTTTACAAGTGAAAAATTGTAACATCTGCATACATGGTAAGTTAGAGGGGTCTTCTCTACGTATGATCTTCATAGTTCATACCCTGTTGTTGCTTGTTTTGGGCGTTTGTGGTCGCATTTCTTGCACTCATTGTTCCTACTAAAGTTCAAGAAGTCACATCTGCAGATAGATCCAAGTTAAGAGAAGGTCCAGCTAATGAAATGAAAAGCAGAAACTTAGAAACTTTAGAGAGAGAGAGAGAGAGACGCACGACGGACAATTCCATTCTCCATGATATAGTTCGCTATTGGGACGTTGTACTGGGCAACGTAGACACTGTTTGTTGCTAGCAAAGTTCATGAATCCACACCTTAATATATACCAAGTGAAAGGATCAGTATAGAACAATGAAGCAAAGATACATGAAAAGATTGTGGTACAAACTTCCAATCTTTATCAGAAGATTCAGGACAAATTACATATAAAGACATGCATATATGGTTAATGATAATGTGTGAGAACAAGATAATGAGAGAGACATGCAAAAACAATAGTTACCCGGAGCAATTCCAATCTCCTTTCTTCATTTCAGTATTCCGAGTGGAAATTTTCTCAGGTCCATCTGCTTTGCATTTCAGGCAGAGCCGGTTTCTTGAGAAGTTCAAGAAATTGCATCTGCAGAGTAGCAACAAGAAATAAAATGAGGAGAGCGAAGAAATTATGATGTATGATGGTAGATACTTTTGATCATTCACGGTTTTAGACTGACTTAGTGCATATCCAATCTCCTTCCTTGACATCAGCAACGACAGAAAGTTTGTCAGGGACTTCACTGCACTCTCGGCATATTGAATTTTTGGCAAAGTTTAGAAAGTTGCATCTACATAGAAAAACAGACGGGAAAAGACAAAGCTGAATCAGAAATTCACAGGGAAGATACAAAAAAAAAATTGTAAACCAAATACATCATCAGCAACAACCCGTTACAGCAGATTGTCAATATTACTGAGTATGCCAGTTTTGAACTTACTTAGGACAGTACCAATCTCCTTTCTTGACTTCAAAGGCACCAGAGCTTTTGTTGGGGGTTTCATTGGAGTCTTGGCAGTTTTCATTCCCAGAAAAGTCCACAAAGCTCCATCTGGAGGAAAGTAGAGGTGAAAAACACAACATCAGTCAGAAAGTTACAGAAAAAAAAAACACTAATCTCCGAGAGTAAAGGTAAAAACAGTGGCGAAGCGAACTCATCAGTGTTGGAAGAGATCAATATGTCTAAGCAATATACATCCTACTTAACCGAAACAGATGAAACATACCCAGATGAACCTTCGTTCATTCAGTGAAAGTTTGCTACTTTGGCCAATCACATGATATAAAAGTTATGGAAGTGAGTATTACTTGTTGAGACTTTTTTCAGTCTTCAACTTCAAACCCCGATCCCTCCTTGACAAAGAACCCTTGGTAGCAGGTTTCGGCAGGGCAGGAGGGTCAGGGGAGTTCTGACTCAATTCAACCAACTCCAAAAGAAGTTTCTTTGACGACTCATCAACCAGCTCTTTGTCTGGAGGTCTCTCCCCTCTGGAAATCACGAGGGAATCAAGCGCATTGAACAACAATATGCGCATAATGTCCACTGTGCGAGCATTAGCTTCTGAGTCCTTCAATGTTATATAAGCCCTATCACAAGAGCCACGCAGACTACAAGTACCACAGACCTGCATCAGAAAAGGGTTTCCTACTGTAAGTCCCCTCCAATCTCAAAACTTGCACAATTGCTACAATTTCAACGTCTCTGGCACATAAAAACTAAAGAGAGCAATTTCCTTATGGTTCGAACTTGAATTTAGTTCACACATAATCAGTAAAGTATCGGTTGAGGTCATAAACATACATCTCCTTCGTCCAATCTAGCATGGGCCCGTAGCCTTTTGGACGAATTAACAGCTTTTCGCAAGAGATTGGGGCATCCACGCTCCACAAGAGCCTCTATATCCCTCGAAGGCAACAACCTGCGTCAGAATACGCGTCAACTACATGAATAACACCGACGAAAACTTCCATTCAACGAAATCGGAGATGAGAGATTCTACTAAAAACATACTTGAGCAGGTCGTAGCGATCGCGGGCGAAGCTCAGACAAGCATCCTTAACCAGGTTCATTTCCCGGTAAATCATCTCGGAGCCACCATTTTCGGTGTTTGGAGGTTCTCCGGAGAAGTAACCCTTAGTCTTCAAGTTGTCTACGAAGGTCATCCACTCCGTCCATGGATGGGGAGGCGGAGAAGCATCCGCCGCTGCGGCGGCGGTACAGGAG